TCAATCAGATCGAGTCATTGCGATTATCATATCACGTCAGACGAAAACATCGGGCAATGGCGGGTAAAAGTCCGCAATTCCACAAGATATATTCCTTGACCTCGGGGTTCGCACAGCCTATCGAAAACCGGCAATTGCGATTTTCAGTCTTTAGTAATACTGCAATGTGGGTCATATGTTTTATCCTGTGAATCACGGTACACCTATCCTCATCCAATGGGAATTCCGAATAGTTCAGTAGAACCAACAACTCATGAACAAGCGTCAAAGCGGTGGAAGCATTCCTTTTACGCTTATCAAAATTTATTCATGGGAATACGATCAGTCAGGCGTTTGAATGCGATAGGTAGATGTGTATTCTCTGACTGTATACTGAATGCAAGTTATTTGTGAGTTGACACCAACACAAATTATGAACAAAAGCAAGCAGCCAAGATAAGAACTAGGAGCGGTGAGATGGCGAACATGAGCAAAGACTACACGGATCAGCAGACTGGTCTATCAGTTCGAGCTGTTCTGACGAAACAAGCCAGTACACTTTAACTCCTGGCTTAGCTTTGAGTTTTCCTGTGTGTCCACTTCATTTCTCCATGCTAACCTTCACATAGGTACTTTTCTTTTCTTGGTAGTAGGCTGTACCAATACGAGCTGAATAAATGGAAAGACGCGAAAGTTACTGAACAGTTTATCAGAAGCCACCGAATCCGTTGCCTCTTACGCACTCTCTACTTTCGGCCAATCTACTGATCAATTGACGGAATGAATAACTGATCCAATCCATCAGCGGAGTGATGTTTTTACATGCAAACCCCGCATTGTTGTAGGTAGTCCAATTGTATAACGGGAACCCTGCGTTTTTGCACCCGGGTGTTGTATTCTGGATCACGGACGTACAAGTGGGTTGCATTTGAAAATGAATTTGGTGTGCCAAATATTGCTCTCAGTGTTTCATATTCATCAGGCAATATAGACACACTCGTACCCGTTAGATGCTGATTCGAATGCATCAAAAGTGAAATAAACGGGAACGGCGGCATTCAAAACAGTCACGTCTGAAACGACTGCCATCGATTTGGTTCTACACTGTCAATCACTGTGGAACGTGGCTAGTGTCTCAAAGATGAAATGCTGTAGGCGTCTCTGTAACGAGTTTGGTGTGAGTTCACAGTGTGTCTGAGTAGCGTGCTTGGTAAAATGGATCAAAATTTAGAACATTTCAATGACAAATTATCACAAAACAGTTCTTCGGGCATATCTTTGAACATCTGTTTATAGATTTCCCGTTTCCTGGAATCAGCTAATCTCTCGGGTGTTTCATTAAATTTGAGCCTTTATTGAGACCAATACAATTCATCGACAGTGTCATACATTCCATCGAACACTGTAACAAGGTGAACCTATCTCAGCATTTGACATTTGGATGGATAATTCGAATGTGAAAAGGTCAGTGCTCTCGGTGTGGCCTCGAAGCTCAGCTTGTAAAACATGCGTGTAAAAAACGTACGCGGCGTCAATGCATGGGTTCGAACCCAACCGAGGCTACTGAACCATTCACAATCGCCATAGAAGGAAACAAATGACATGAAGGATCACAGTTGAACACTGTGATTCCTGTCACTAAGTAAGATGAAAATCACCGATTCACCTTACACCTCGTTACCTTGTCCTCCAGTTTGCTGTCAATGCCACGTCACCAAAAGTAAGCGAATTCATTCTTATTTATGCCTTCCCGTCGGTGGTACAAGGTTGTACAATAAGGTGATATCTACTCTCCCCTTACCACACAGCAAGAGAGAAAGCAGACTGAGAAAGTGAAATCCCAATCTACGGGTACCGAAGAACGTTTGTATATTCAGCCTAAACGGATTAAAAGAAGAGGTTCAAATGAGTTGACTTGGTGTGCGGCATACGTTGTTGGGTCTACTTGTAACACTACCAATCGAAAGATCGCCCATGGGTGAGCAGTTTGCACACATTCCGACCACAGGTAGGAAGAAAGATGTTATCCGGAAGCGATTTCTCTATATCTCAGTTAGCCTTCGTTGAAGTTACCTAACTCGGTCTTCATTTCCAAGTGCGATTTTGGTGCAAAATTGCCAAGATTAAATCCGTTCTTTCTCTAAAGCGGTATATTGAAATAACGAATTATGTAAGATTGCCGAATTCCATCCTCAGTTGTGGTTGGTATCTTTTGTCTATTGTTGATGCTGATGCAGTATCGTGACACTGAGGCGTATAGTTCATTCACGCGAGTTTGTTGTTCAATACTACACCGAAAACCTTCTTTCCGGAGGAAACTGATGCCCAATATTTTATCGTCCGTTCTGAATATTTTCTTTACCGTCAATCATGCCATGATAATTCGGGGTAAATGAGTAGGTTGTAGTTAGCGGTAAGTAAACTATACTCATCATACTATAAAGCTCACCCAGTCACGCCAGGAATTGAGATTCTGAAATCTAATCATGCTTTTCTTGTCTGTCAACACACCTTTTAGTGCATCCATGTAGTTCTCAAATTTGCTGCACCAAATACAACATCTGATGCCGGCTAACATTGTCGCATCTACAATCAGTTTTAATAAAAACATCAGTGAGCATCTTTGTTCCATTCGGAGCTACTCTACCAGACAGTGTTTTCCATTCGCAAGGTATATTTGCTCTTCAGCAGTTTAGTATGCGATGAAGGACCACTGTCTGCACTCATAAGATAGGCATTGTTCTTCACGAGCTGATTGATGTTTGTGTGTGGTATTTGTTCTGATCTCCAGGAAACTACGTTTTCTATGCTGCATACTTTCTACCCTCTCGAATGCCATTAGCCCCTGACTGCATTACTGCATAAACAACCATCTTGTTGCCACAATTTTGTCTTTCTCTGCTGATATGCATTTTGCATACTTGATTGTTCGTCCGTTCGCAAGTAACAAATATCCAATGTGTGAGATGCATGGATGATTTTGTTTCATTATATGAATAATTCACCGTGTAAATCGTATGTGAGCTGAAAAACTAGGAAGCCCTGGATACCTGTTTCGACATGTTTGGCACCTGATATTAAGTGGCAATCCGTCTACCAAACAGAGGTTCGAAATCACGTTGCAACCTGGTTGCGGGAATCTCCCTCAATCTTCTTAGCACTGTCTCCAGGGTCGTGACTCAGTTGCTCACTTTCACAACGGTTGACAATTGTTCATAATACCTGTTGACTGGAAGTGCTAACACGCATTTAAATGCATCCTAACAACAAAGTCTGTAAACATATGTCTTGAGACACACCACCACATGTTCCTAGTTTTCCAAAACTGTGACTATCAGTTTAAGGTGTTTTGAACAGAATGCAACGATGCAGTTACACAATCAGGAAATCCAGTTTCTGCGACTAAAAGTGTTCGCAATCTTTGCGTGTATGCGCAAAGGAATAACATTCCTTATTGAGGAGTAGTTGCGAATGATTTGATTTACTTGTATAATGCATTTCAAAATCGATTTCAAATTTTTATTTATTTTTATTTTTTACTTACAAAAACTTCCCTTATCAAATCCCATAGGGTGTTTACACTTTGGTTCGGAACAAGATTCACAAGATCACAGTTAGTCCATGAAAGTAAAATAGTAATGTAATGTTTTTGACGAGCACAGGAAATCAAGCGACGGGTAACGTGAAACACTATGTCGAATTGGCATTTAGATTTTGAGAACACAATCAACTCCGGCACCCGGGAGGTATTCAGACAGCATTTCATTTTGCCTATGCTCGAGATGACACGATCCATCTTTTTGAGCTTGTTGCGAGCATTGCACCTCACTACATTCAGCACCAATCTCCGGGGTAAGGATTCGCTTGGAAACATCCCCGTTCGGGACAGGAAAGATCTGCTGCCGCTTACGGATACTGGAATTCGACTCCGTGTAAAAATCACTGAAACCAAAATACGACTCCATCAAACCTCGAACATTTTTTCAAAGCAATAATGTTGACGCGCTTTCCGGCAGTGAAAACGGTGTTCCCTTCTCTCTGAAAGTAGGACCCGTAACCATAACCTGAATGTTCGAGTTCAGAAAGTGGCCACCTATCTATCTATCTATCTCTCTATCTATCTATCTAACTATCTATGTATCTATCTATCCATCTATCCATGCATACATAAATGTTTCCACAAGGAAAGTTTCCAAAGCTTCCGTTTTGCACTTAACTAAGTTATCCGAGACTGTCGGTCTGTGTGATATGATAACTACTACCATCGGTTGGACGCAGAGTTCATAATTGAATGTCCTTGATGACGGAAATGACTGGAAACGATGCATCATTTCCCTTCCATTCTGCACTTATTGTGAGTTATGATTTTTCTATTTGTATACTCCGTTTCCATCTGCTTTGCAGGAAAAACAATTTAATGAAGCTGTTCTACCATTATTGTGGCTTTGACCTTAACTACTCGTGAGTAGTAATGTGTTGGATATCGTTTTAGTTCTATAAACCAGCTTGCAAGACAATAAAATGGGGATGAAATCTACCTACCTTTCTTAATGCTAACGAAAGCGACTCAGCATCGCATCGAGCGATTTCCCTGTACATGTAAGGAGAAATGGGGTAGGTGAATGAGAATCTAATCCGTTTAGGGACCAGAGAAACAACAGGCTAAATCTGTTGTGTGGTTCTACTCACATTTGTGAGTAGTAGGTAATATAGTTGGTGATTCCTCTCAAAGATCAAAAATTAAGAAGACAGCCGAGGGCAAATTGCTGTACTTCAAACAATAACTATCTATTGTTCCATTCATTACCAGTTTTGCGGCCATGAACTGCCATGGTATGATTCTGATGAGATTACAGTTTTGTGTATGTCAAATTAGTGATGTCCCATTTGTAATCTTCGTTAAACAACTGTGCCCGACCGAACAATTGATGCCATCGCCAGGATCAGGATGAAGTTTTCATGGCCTAAAGCCTTTGAGGAAGGAGACGCGCGGACGTTCTAGGAGGATTTCGAGGACGTCGTGGAGCTGGCGAGAATACGGTCGGACCGGGGTAAGTTGACGGGGCGCGAAGAGGCCCGGAGAAGGTGGAGTGAACAGCCGCGAAGAACACCCTGATTGCGGATTTTGACATCCCGGCCGACGCCAGCGGGCATTTTGGAGGTTCAGGACGCTGCAGCTCGGAGTTGGAGTGCACCCCTTGTCCCATGCCGTGGCCCAGCACGATCTGTTGAATCGTGGGCTCCCAACAGTGGATGATGTCACCCGTTCGGACTTCACGTTCATGCACAATCCCCAGTTAGGCGATTCAAACCATCACTCAGAAGCACTATACTCGATTTTCGCTCTTATTAGAGCTCATCAGTAGTGTTTATCCAAGGTCCCGTCCGGGAGTTGACCTCCCCGTGTATAGTTCAATCGATCAACTGAGGATTGTGCGTGAACATGAAGTCAGAAGGCTAGTTAGTTCAAATCAATAAATATCAATTAATTATCCCACACCACTACTCACAAGTGACTATGTGAATTATCAAGCCAGCCTTGTGGGCTCGTTGGCAAATCAGCCCGTACCTGCATGGAAGTCCTGACTTGGTGGCAGGCTTTCAATTGGAGTTATCGGATTGTCATTTGTGTCTCACTTCGTTTCGGTCGGGTCAAATGTACTGACCGACTATCACTGAAGAAAACACCTGAACAAAGATGAATTGGTAATTTGGTTCAGCCAAGGTATGAGCTGCTTGCCACGGTGGTAGCGCACTCGCCTTACATACGATGGGTCCGGAGTTCAAATCCCGGACGGGAATTCATTACTGATGAACTCTAATAGGAGCGAAAATCGAGTTTATTACTTCCGAGTGTATGGTTTATTCGATAAACTGAGGATTGTGCATGAACGTGAAGTCCGAAGGATTGTCCGTTCAAATCAATTAATTATTTAATAATTCGTCCTGTATATGATACGTGGCCTAGGAAGCTAGTAAGAACTGGATTGGGGGTTCGACCTGGTAGGGCCTGATCACCAGTGCGCATCCATCGACCAGCTAAACCAACGGGCAGCTGATGGGACCGTTCTCCATTTGGTATATACAATGAAATAACGCCATAAACTACGTTTGGAATCTCATGGCCGGAATCTCCCTCAATCTTCTCAGCACTGTCTCCAGGGATGTGACTCAGTTGCTCACTTTCACAACCTGACTAATTGTTACATTAGATCTGATAATCAGCTGATCTGCTGCGCGATGAACGAGTGGGTGATATTCATGAGTTCTAATGTGAGGTCCGGGAATCGCCCTCAGTTCGGTAGATAGATTTGCACTGCTGATGACGTGTCTAGTGCTTCCTAGATTTCAGCTCACGCCTCATTCACAGGACAGGTTTACCACAAAATATCAACTGGCGTAAAGTAAGTAACCAGGTGTGAAAAAATCTCCACTTTCTCAACAAGGTCGTCCCTCTGAACCACTTTTATATTCATGTATTTGAAAAACAATTTGAAAACGTTCTTTTCGAGGTTACAATATTTTCGTCAGCCCAGCTTGTTCCTTTCGTGACAAAAATTCATGAGTAGCACCGAACGTATTTCAATCTTTAGTAGGCTTTACTGAGCATCGTCTCCATGATGTAGCAAACACATGCGTGCACCGGATGATCATGCTGAACGCTTTCATTCACCGATCACACGTAATGTTTTGCTCCCCGTTAGACATTGACATATTTTCTCTATCAACCCACGTTTACCAAGTATGATGGTAGTTGTTCGAAGCACTCGCTACAACAATTAACTATTCAGTTGGTACATGGGTTACGCAATATCCGACTCGCAGGCACAATCCACAGACGGCGTTGACTTCTTCCCCTCGTCCCATGTGTGACTGATGCGAAACACACGAATGATGAATGCAACGGAATATATTCAATCACAACGAAACTGTGTCACAATAACACAATAATAGCAAGCAGTGGACGCGATCACATTCGATCCGTGATGGATTGGTCGATCGACTAACCACATCTGTCAAATATTGTTTGAACTACCACATTGGCATCGTAACCACGCTCACACAGTCGATAAAACTTGGGCAGTTCGTACGCGAGTTCAGGAACCTGGAAGCGAATGATAGATATGGATGACTATATGACCGGTTTTGTAACGAGGTTCATTGGAATGGATGTTTCTCAGGTCTCCTCACACGGCATGCATAATTTCTCAAGCGGGCACGAAGAACGGAACGAATTTCGATCAAAATCTACAACGAGTGCATGACTGACACATTGGGGAAATCAGTTTCATTGTGACTTATTCAAACAGTGATTTAGACTAACAGGTTACTTACCTGATCAGTGCTGAAGCATTTATTCTCAAACTGTTCTTCAATTGTGTTCTGACAATCCAGTGTGTCGTAAATGTCGGTACGTGGGTGTGACGGGGTGGCAGTTTCTCGGACCAGCTCCACAATCTCAGCGACCGTCTCTGTGGCCAAGCTTGCCAGCTGGAACAGTGTGAATAAGAAATTTTGATTATTATTGGTTTGTGAACATGAGGAGTTGAGGACCTCATTGGGGATGATAGTCTCAATAAATTAACTGATGCTGTTCATCTTCTGAACGCATTCGTAGGTTGAATCCGCTTTCATCTTCACAGACATAAAAGATTATGTATATCACACATACTCGTTCAAGAAAGACTAGAGTTATCCACATATTGCAGCACACTAGTTTAAACAGACCACATTGGATATCGCTCACGAATGAAAAATACCTATCGGACACCTACCTGTGTAGCACGATGCAACCGACGACGAGCTAACGCAAGCCTTTCCGGCGACTGCTCCACATTCAGTTGACGTTCTAGCTGGAACAAATGCACCTGGTCCTCAGACACTGTATCCACGGCGTTAGAGTACGGCTCAGTCAGACGTGATATATTCTGTTGTTTCCGCGAGATTACATTTGTGGTTTTGTGGACAAGGGAGAAGAAGAGGAAAGACCAAAAAAATATTTCACGTGATTCGGCAAACATTCTTACAGAATAATCTTTTTTATTTTCACACTATTCACAGTAGATAGTAATCCACTCGGGTTTTGCGTATGTGCTCATTGAGACTCACACAAATCGGTTGAGTGCATAATTTTTATTTGCTTTGAAGCATAGAAGATGTCGTTATTGCACAACCTATCAATTTACGTTCACAAGTCATTTATAATTTGTGACTGATGTATGTGAAACCCAATGTTTTTGAAAGTTCGCAAATTTCGCTGATAAATGATTCTTTTATTCATACAAAAGACTTACCATCCTGCTATTTCCTTTCGATTGAAATTCGGATAGTGCCAATGCGGCCACAGACTGATTGAGTGGGGTAGACAACAGACAGAAGGATAGGGCAAATAAGTGTGAGTGATAAGATGCATCTGGGAGTAGTCTGACGCAATTCAGTGGAGACATATCCACAAATCCCTCAACACTGTTTATATAAATCTCAACGTAGTCCTGTCTGTCATCTACCTCTCTTGTAGCTGTGGTTCTGGTTTTCACCATTTTTCCACAGCCTGTCAGTTCGAATACGGAATGCTTGAGGTAGTACACGGTTACTCAGTCGTAGCGACCCGATTTATCAATGGAAAGAAGTATATCTTGCAACCACAGTCAATTCTAACAGACTGTGCATGCTACTTACCGCGTCACCGTAGGTCGATACAGTGCTATCTTTAACCAATGGTTTCACCTTGGCCACCTGCTGATTCACGGTCCATTGTGACAATGTGTGCTGCAACGGGGAACAAGGAAGAACAGAACAAGTAAACCGATCAGAGCGCTGCACAAGACAATTGTCATTGTGTATATTTGGCAACGCATAATCAATTCCGAATGTAGGCACTTCAGATAAAAACAAGGCGTCATACGAACGTCATATCTCATACGACTTGGACCCGCTACAAAAAGCCCAGCACAAGATGATCCTCAACAAAACTATTCAGCAAACTTCAATCTATTCTCAATATAGGCACTTTG